ATTTAAATTGTGCAACTATTTTTTAAAATGTAAGCCAGTGATCCTTGGTGATTTCCATGTCAGCTCTCTAAAATCAAGAACAAAACCAACACTCACCAGCCGGAAAAGTTTGAAAAAGTCGACATTGGCGTAGAATTTGTCCTCAATGATCTGTAGTCGCTGTGGAGTGAGGATGCACATGGCGTTGCGAACTGCGTAGAGTCCTCGACGGCTGGGGAAAATGAGGAATCGTTCGAGCAAGTTGAGGCTGCACGCAATGTCTTTTAAATGCAAGTCCGGGACTCCAAAAGCAAACTGGAAAAAAGCAGATTTATGCGGATTCAGATGACATCAGCAAAAACAGAAGTAATCTGATGTGTATGTCACTGCGCCGTGACGTCTTTTGTCTGTTAGCTTTTATTCTATGTCTTGAATTAAACATCTGTATATTGTCGTGATGCATGCTTAATCACCCAGGTAACCAAGTCTTGTTCATCTGGACATCCAAGTGGCATCTTTCCCCAGCTTTATAAACAGTACATTTGCATGATGACTGAAACTGGTAACTACTGACTAACAATGGGCCGTGGTCAATTTCATGATGGTTAATTTGCAGTTGTCATGACCACTGATCGCCTGTATATTTCCCTTGTTTTTCTTCCTTTACTGTGTCATATTACCATTTGTGTTGCATACTGTACTCCACCAGAATCCTTGCCTTGGTGGTATGAAGCAATATCAGTGTCTTGACTTCTTAATGGTAAAATGTCACACTGTGTACCCTTGGCTGTGTGCGTGTGTTTATGCATGTGTGTGAGCACCCGCGTACCTGTTCAGGCCTGATTTGGGCATTAACTAGATGATACACTACAGACTCGGTCAGAGGAATGTCTCTGAGGAGGAATGACGTCAGAGTCTCGTCATCCTTCAGGATAGTCTCCACTTTTACCCCTCGACCTGTAGACAAACAGAGGCAGTTGGTGTAATGGAAAAATCATAAGAACGGTTTCATGTCTTTAACTGTCTTTAACCTTTCACAGTGAATGACTGTCATGGCTAGATAGATAACTGTTCGCTGTTTGATATGGAACTGGATAAACTGGGCAAGTTGGAAAAAGCTTAGTTTCATAGTAACACATATTGGGCAAGTTGTGACAAATGTGTTTCATTAAATGACACAATTTCCAGTAGCCTGTCTGTGCATGAATGAAGGCTGCATTGCCAGGCAAAGTGCTGTTTTGGCTTTTATCCAGGCTGTGCCCCTGATGAACCTGGTTTGAGATAAACACAAATTAAACAAACAAAGCTGAAACGTGTGTGTGTGTGTGTGTGTGTGTGTGTGTGTGTGTGTGTGTGTGTGTGTGTGTGTGTGT